CATTTTGAAGTTCAATTTCTTCGACTGTATAAAATAAATTGTATCATTGCCTGCCGCACTGCACTACAACTGGAAAGAATTGTAACTATAATGATGAAAGCAAAAGGTCCCATGCCCCCATTGTATCATCCATTCATCGGTCCATGCTGGACTGGTTCAGCGCCTCCCTTCAAACTTCCGCGACACATCTTAAATCGTTGGCTAGATGCAGGAACTCGTACAGCTAGAAATAAGGGTGATTGCACAGGTGAGCAATCAAAAACCCCAAAGACGGGGGCACAAAATGGAAAAATTTGAGATAGTGTTGTGCTTGTCTCTTTTTATGTGTCCCCAGTCTCCAGCGTTTTTTAGTATGATGTACTACAACTGCCCGTAGGTTGTACATATTGGCACATTTAAATGGGCCTTATGTAAAAAGAAAAAAATAAATAAATAAATTTTTAAAAAATTACGGGAGTTTTTTTATCGCAAAATTAAAAGGATACTTCAACAAAATTCGAAATATATCCGTCGTGTTCAAAAATAGGTTGAATATGATCCACAATATCCGTAAATGACAATCGCACATTTGTATTTTGAGCCTGGTGGCTGTATTTTTTGTTATAAACGGCCCACTCTAGCAAGCACTCGGAGAAGGCCCAGCTTAGAGCACGTGACATCCGACGCAATCGTGACTAGGTCGTCTCGGGACGAGCAGAGCTACGGCGAGGCTGACGTCGAGGGCAGGGGCGGATGCAGGAATTTCCTGAGGGGGGGGGGGGGGGGGGGGGGGGGGGTCAGCTGTTGGTCAGCGTACCATATGTTTAGGAACCCCCTCCCCCTCTCCCCCGTTTCACGCCCTAAATTTTACACATGCAGAAATCAAGAGGGGGGTCAGGACATCCGGACCCCCCCTCTAAATCCACCCCTGGTCGAGGGGATGGCCTAGTCATTCCAGCCATCGAAGCAGCTGCTTTTGTAGGAATTTTGAGTGACGGGTTAATCTTTTATAATCTTGTAGGGGTACAATTACTACTTCTGGAACACACAAAAGGGATTCTCAGGAAGACGGGAGTTCCTCCTTCCCCTCTTCCCTTCGGATGCACCACATCCACCAGGTGCTCTTTCCTAATCGTTTAATTTGTTTTAAAATTCCTTTTCGTGACTTTTTTAACAAGATATTGGTGTGTTCGATGTCATACTGCTCCTTTAAACACATATAGACCATAAAAAAAGCGCCGAAATTTCGTTGTAGTATCCCTTTAAGCTATGCATTGCCGGACGGTCATTCTTTGCCCCAAGGTGGAACCAGGTGCCTAAGTTTCAGCACGAACCAATATCTTATTTAGAAAAGTGATTTTATGAAATTTTCAATGGGAAAAGGGGGCTCTGTTTTGTGCGTTTTCGGGCATTGTAGAGCCACCATTTTCCCATTGAAATTTTGAAAAAACCTAATTTTTGAATTAGATATGGGTTTGTGCTGAAATTTCGGCACCTGGTTCGGACCTTTAGCGATGCAACAATATTTGTACTTTGCTCAAATACCGCTTAAAACGGATCCCTAACGTTAATGACCTATGAAACACGCGTTCGTTTTACACCCGACGCAATAGAAGTCCCAGAAAAAAATTTAACAAAAACGAGCAGCGTTCACCCCCTCAACTCGCAGCCAGAACAAGCGGCCACGTGACCTGGAGCCGAGTATATGCCGCCAGTGTTGATCATAGCCACGCGCTGGGGTTGGCAAAGCGCAGGACACGCGCTGAGTTCCAGACATTGTTATGGCTCGGCTGTTGTCGTCGTTGCAGCGATTGGGCACGGGTCACAACCCGAATGCTTCTTGAGCTAGCAATTGTCACGAGCCCAAGTCGAGTGCCCACGCAATGCTCGGGTCCAATCTATGAACCGCATTCAAATATCGTCACTTGGGTGTACTGCGATCCCCGAGTTACGTCATCAAATTTTGCAAAGGAGAGATTGAATGAAAATGATCGCTTTTGTCCTTGAAATTACACCGCAACAAAGGAGTTCCTTGGCCAATGGCGTTGCGTGTGAGTATCCCGATTTTTTCATTGTCTCCGATTTGCTTGAAATTTTGCTAAACTAACCAACAAACATCGCGAAAATAGTATCCCAAATATTAGGTCAAAATATTGTTTTTTCACGAAGTTATTGAATTTACAGTTTTGGTCCTCACCGTGTTTTTCAAGCTCGAAGTCTCTACTGGCAACAATTAAAAAGTGACGTCAGTGGAAGGCAGCGGTTCACTCTTTGGGCTGTAGATTTTGTTTTAAACTGATTCGAAGCAGTTTCATAGTGTCAAATGAATGCTTGGGAAGCTCGCTGCAGTACCCGTGCTCCAGCACAGAACAAATGATTGGCATATTCTATTTTTTGGCTGCTTGCTCGACTGGCAAGCCTGCCTGCCACTGACGTCACGGCCCTGAAAAGCGCGCGTATATTTGAATGTTGGTTTTTGCATCATTTTCATTTGCCGATTTCGCAATAACTATTATGAATTTCGCGATTCTAAATAGCATACCGGAGAGAGTAAAGGCCGGGGAGTCAGAAAATATAGTTCGTTGAGGTAGCTCAAAAAATCGGTGGAGTACCCCTTTAAGGCAGAGGATAAGCGTTCGGCAATAAATATTAAAAAAAAAAAAGCCTCTTATTTTTTTTTTTGTTGAACACCTCCATTTACATTTTTATGAACGTTGGTATGGTCGGCATATGCCTATGATTTGCGAAGCACGACAATAGAACATGGTGAAAAGTGGAAGAGATATAAGGGTTTCCACCTTGTGTTTTAAAGATTTTAGTGTACCAACAATTCGAAGCTGAACCCATATAGGCAGCCGGCAATGGCCAGGCGGCGCCACGAGAGCACTGCATTCAGCGCCACAAGCGGAGGCGTCTCTGTTATTGGGGCGGCCAGTTTCCCCGTCGGGCCTTTGCGAGCGGCGGCGACTCTGATTTCAGCAGTCCCCGTGTGTACCTGCGTCCCTGGCTCTTTTATGCGGTTTTTTAATCGGGAGCCTTGCTAGGTCCAAGTGCTGAGAGAATACTCTAGAGTCGTCATTTGGACACGTTTGAGTTGTCTTCACTACTTGTGGCCGTCAGGCGCCCGATCGGTCTGTGCTTGGCTCGTTTCCCAGGAAGTGACACAATACAACAAATGGGTTTATTGTACATCCCGGTTGCCCGTCTTCGAAAACCGGCACTCCGGACCCGCCGACCTTAGCTGTCTCCCGTCGTTCAGAGCTCACAGTCGGAGCCCGTGTCCAGGCCTGCGGATCGCCCTTCCCACGCCAGCGCTGCGTAGGCTAGCTGTTCTGGGCTATCACTGCCAGAGTCTCGCTGCGGAACCACTCCGGGATCGTCATGGAGTAGGCCAGTATGGTCAGGGTTCGCCGCTTCCGTCGGTCCTGATCCGAACTTCGCTGGTGGAATGCTCCCGGGAATCGCCATGGGCCAGACCAGCCAGAACGGCCCTATCGTTCCTGCCCGGCCCCAGCCTCGCGCAGCAGGCTCCTCGCCGGCTGGCCCCCGCTCGCGCCTCGCTCGGCCGTCCTCTCCTCCCGACGCCCACACACACTAGAATAAAATTTGGGTAATTAGAACCAAACTCTGCATGCTACAGAACCGTACGCACATTGCAAAGCCTGGTGTAAAATGGCGACAGGCAACGAAGTGTACGCGTAAGAAGGGTATTTACGTTTCGCATGAGATTTCTCTATCCTGCTTTCTGCATGCCGTCACAATTGTTACCAGACTCAGCATTAAATTTGGTTGCTGAAAGAAACAAAATTTTGTGCTACGAAAATCTATTATTTAAAAACTAGCAGGTTTGGAAGGTTTTGGTTGCGACTACGCGTGCCGAACGGCATGCATTAGGAGTGCCGGAACGGACCGACGAGCCTTTCGCTTGAAGACCTGATCGCCCGATTCTCTACGCCACAGCGAAGCAACAATCGCCCCGATTGTTCCTATCGTATTTCCCTAATGTGGCTGTCAAAGCGACTCGTAATACAACTTGTATAAATATGTTATTTTGCCGAGTAATCCGCAAAATGAGTTCGTCCGACCACTTTCCAAGCCTGCACATGTATTTCCGTTCACTTCCCTCCCAACAGTTTCTGTAAAATTCACTTACTTGTTGCGTCGCACTGTAGTATTCCACTTCTGTCGCCGTGTCGCTTCCCAACATCTCGAAGGGAAGCCGGGGAAGCGGTGAAGTTTGATCCTTGAGTCACCCTCGCGACTGTGGCCGTCTTTCATGCAGCAATAGCAATGTTTATTTTTTGGAAGAACTCCACGAGTTCTTCCAAGGAACCCGGTGAGGTTATAAAGACGTGAAGTTGGGACTTCCTTTCACGAAAAACGGATTCAGAAACACTCACGCCGATCCGAAATGCAACGTTCACACGTGGTTTCTGGATGCGCCCGCCCGCAGCCCCCGCGACCCGCGTAGTCCTGGCCTACCCAGTTTCTTTATTTTGCTGCCGCTAGATGGCGCAACGTGTAGCGCCAAACTGCACTGCAGGTTGCCTATAAACCATTTCTTCCTAATGACTTCATCGTAAGCCTAACCCAACCGTAAGCGATGCGCAGCGCATGAAGAGCCACTATGCACTGACTGCGCAAGTCACGCGATCACTGAAATGTTGAACTGAGCCCCACAAATGATAAAATTACCGAAGTTCATTGAACTCATAGATTGAACTGGTTGAACTAGTTGAACTGCGAACCACCACAGCACGTGACTCAATTACTCAATCGCTCAATCAGTGGCTCAATGCTGCGCTGCGCTGACTGCGCCGCCGCCGATAATCGGTGCCATTCAGATAACGCGTAAACATGATAAATAATAATAAAAAATATTTATGTAATGTTGTGAAAAACCTTTCGAAATTATTTTAATTCAGACATTGATTTAATACACTTGTTGAAGAGAGGAATAATAAGTGTTGTTCTGCGGGCTTGCTCTTCCAGCTTCCAGGTTCATGAGCACGTTCGAAATGCGCTCATCGCCTTTTCTGCGAGCTACTGGAGTGGTCACGTGACAAATGTGGAACCGCCATTTTGAGCTCTTGCAGCATGTCGGATTTTACCGCAGTTGCGCCGCCACAATCAAATATTTCTGGTAATTACGATCCAAGTGCAGCGTTCGCGGATGCTGTGCAAAGAGCGCGACAGGTAAGTTTTCCGTTCAATTGGCACCTTTTTACGGCGTCGAAATAGCGTAATTTGTTCCCCGCGGCCCGTCCCGGTTCGAGACCATTGTGCCGCAAGAACGCCATAGCGGGATCGGACGCCGGCTTGTCTCGAAAGTGTCGTTTATTCGGCAAATGGGGCCGCTCTAACCTGCTCCCGTGCTAGGAAAGCGATTACTAGCGAGTATGGGCTAATGTTTTTGTTGGGATAGTGGTGTTCAGTTGATATTCGGCAAATGTGGCGCTAAGCCTAACTTGCCGCCTTTATGATAGCTCGCCCAGTGTAGCATCGCTGGCAAGCGAAATCCCTACTTTGGACTGTACCACCAGAAAAGGTGGCGGAAGAAAGAAATAAAGAAAGGCTTAATCGCTTCAAATTGCGTGATCAGTAACTTGATAACGTTTTTAATGGGTACCGGCCTCGCTCCAAGAGCCACGAGTGCCGGTTTTTTCCGCGGCCTCCTGGGAATTTTTTTCTTTGTCGTGTTTTTGATCGGCCATTTCTCGTACCACGTTGCGCTGGAACGGTCCCCTAAATCGACCTGTTGGCCGCGTCGTAAATAAATAAGCACTTGTTTATTGTAGACTCCCAGAATCTTTCAAGCAAAATGATATGGAAATCACATTTACGAAAAAAAAAAAAAAAGATTCACGCGGGTTGTGTTCGTCACATTCGTGCGGTGCCGTGGCAGTCTCGAAGCAAACTGCGCAACGGCTTCCCCTCCGACAATTTGGTACACGTGCTCCAGGATTGCACAAATTTCGAAGGAAGTGGACCGCAGTGCACAGCCGACCAACCTGTTTTCTCTGTGTCCGCGTTGAAAAATTTTTTTTTTTTTAAGTGGACCGGGATTTTTTAAAGTTAGTATTTATGGTTGTGTGTGTTGGCTAAGCAGTTACCAAACGCGGGAGTGCTTGAAGCCACCTCTTTTTGTGTTTGCAGATCGCTGCAAAGATTAACCCCCCTTCAAATTCGGAAGCAGGCAGCATAACGGGCGGCGGAACCAAGCGGCCGCTAGAAGATAGCATGGACAGAAATGGTACGATCAGAAATGGTGCTTTCCCTTTTTCATCACAGGTTGACTACTAGTGTCTGACACCTCTCTTGTACTGGTGCCCTTGAAATAAGCGAAGGAAGGAGCAGTGCAAAAGGCGGGGACCAGATTCAGTGTTGTCAGCCTGCAAGGGGATAGCTGGCATTCAGAAGCATGCTCTACTCCTTGCTCGATTTCCTAACATTCTGCAAACTGACTGCCCATTGTGAGTGTTTAAAACATCGAAGTACCGACGGAAAGAGTAAAGCTCCTAGCATATGCCTACTCTATATTTAATTTGGTCATTCTTGATTCTTCGTTGATGACTTTCCCATCAAACAAAAAAGTGTGTTATACCCTCGTTATGCGGGCACCCTTAGCTGCAGTCACGGTAAGCCATAGTTACCACTCTGTACTTTTGGACCAGATTCTGTGCAGGCACGTAAGCCAGGCTTTTGAAGGGGAAGAAGAAGAGACTGCTCATGGCAAAATGCTTTAGGAGTTGGGGAAGGGAGTGGGGAAAGGGGCATGGGTTGCTCAGAGCTCGGCTCATTGGTCAAGTGTACCAGTTCTTGCGTTCGTTCTAGTTAAGAGTGTGTGCTTGTTTGTTTGTGAAACATTCCAATGCTTGAGGCACTGTAATTTGGCATAGCTGGGCAGAATCACTTCTCCACCGACGGTGGAGGTGAAGTTTTCAAGATTGTCGTAGACTGCCTATTTGGCTAATATGTCCGCCAGGGCAGCAAAAATATCTACTATGGTCGGTGACAGGTCAAGAACAAAGTGGAAGCTCCTCCCACCCCTTTCCACTTCAGCGGAGCGTACGGTGGAGAGGAGGTCAACTCCTCTCCAGCTTTCGCTCTGCTAAAGTGAACAGAGGTGGGAGGAGCTTCCACTTTGTTCTTGACCTGTCACCGACTATAGTTAATTTATTTTTATGGGAAGCAACAAAGATTTTAAGGCATCCGGGTCTATTTTCAAAATGTTGTCCGTCATCGGATCGGACTAGAAACTCCTTATAGTTGCACTGATTGCTAATGCTACTTGTAAGAAATGTGCAAGGTTAAGCAACTCATTCGCAATGTTCCAGCTCACACTCTTGCGTGATAAGATAAGAGCGGGACACTGACATGGAACGAGCCCGCCAGTCAAACAGCTTATCTCTCAACAGGTGCACTGTTTGCATCCTTACTTGTTCAGCTTTGCCAAGTTAAGTTCAATCACCGAGCGCCTTTGCGGTACGGTATGTACGTCGACCGCATTTCTCGGTCATATGGGCCACGTGGCCGGAGGTCCGTCCTTTTGTCCCGCGGCCTACGTTGGTGGGGGCCCTGCAGATCGCCTCCCGCATCTCGACATTCACCTGCATCGCCTAGAGCTTTCTGGCTGCTGCGTTGGCCTGAAAAGTGTAGAAGCGATGCCACAGCAAAGATTTCCCGAGGTTTTCGCTGACACCCTAAGAGCCGGCCTGGTTCTGTGAAGGGAGTTAGATAGTACATCTCTGGACAAGTGACTGTGGGGTAAAGCCCCCTGGCGAAAGCCTCCGGGCGCGTTGCGTCGCAAAGGTCTGTTTCTGACCGTTCTCTTTTTCCCTGAACCAGACGGCTCCCCCGACGCCAAGAAGCTGGCCGCCGTGAACGACCGTGAGTTGCCATTTATTTGTTGCTGGGACGTTAGTGCGACGGGGTTCGTTGGTGGTGTCGCGCCAAGGTTTGCACGGGGTAGCCGCTCGTAGCTAACTGCAGGGTGTCCGATGGCGTTTGGCACTGTGGCAAGCGGAAGCCCCTGGGTTTGAGATGGACGCGACGATTGGAATACGGGGCTTTGGGTGCCGACCATTTGACTGCACATACTCTCAAACGTCGGTCGTCTGTCCTACGAACGGTGTTGCTTTCTAATCTTAGCCTTCCGTAGGTTTGAGGCAGATTCTAACTGCTTACGTAGACTGCTGTACGTCTTCCCGGGCAAAGCATCGTGCGTGCTTACGCTTACAGTAGACGCTTTAATTTGAGCTTGAAGGCTCGGATTAAAAGTATAAAAGGCTTGGTTTCAGGTATAAAAGAAAAACAGTGGTAATGCACATTCGAAGGAGGCAAGTTGCACGAGGAGATGCCCGTGGTGTGTGGTTATGCATCAAAATCCTGTCGTGACGTCTTAAATAGTCGGTTGTTGGCAGCTTGCTCAACGTACAAGTAACCGACGATAGTACCCCCGCAAAAGTGGACGATTAAAAGGGGAATCCTCATCTCGGGTTGTTCACCCTCTGGGGTTGCAGAATGGATTTTCGACTGCAAGTACTTTGGCCGCATTTTTTTCCCCCGCCCCGGACGCATCTTTGCGTCGACGTTAACCGTGCTCCTTGCTTTGCAGCATTCGGGGCTCAGTTGGCCGCCCTCGCTCAGCAAAGGTGAGGCTGCGCTCTCGTGGGCGGCGATTGTGGCCGCTTCTGTTCCCTTCCGTTGCTGACTGCCTCGTCTCGCTTGCAGAGGTGGCATCACAAACCAAGCACCAGCCGTGGAGGAGTGGAGTGTCCCCGATAAGATGGTGGGCCTAAGTGAGTACAGCCTCCTCCTCGGGCGCCGGTTGAACTGGCCGGGGCTACGGACGATCCCCAAACCCCCAAAACATTGCTTTTTTCGTTGTAGTCTTAGAATTGGGCAGAAGGTTCCGAAACGGCCCTCCCAAGATATATATGCCAGGGGTGGCCAAGCTGCAGCTCTTTCCATGTTAAAGTGCGGCTCGCGGCTCCCCCCCCCCCCCCCCCCCCCCAAAAACACACACACACTCTTCCCCGCCTTCCCGGTCACACGAGCACCGTCCCAAAACGAGAAATGGAACGTGTTTTAAACCGGAAGACAGATTGTGGCTTGGTAGTCTTGTGCCACTATTACCTTAAGTACAGTAGAACTGCTTTTGACTCTGATATAGTGAAAGTAGTTTGAGTTTCGTTATTGCTCTAAACAGAAGCCCCCCCCCCCCCCCCCCCCCCCTGCGACTTTTGGAAGTTTCGTGGTTTTGTTTGCGGTTCTTTGGCCGGGTCAGCTTGCCCACCTCTGATATATAGACGCTTTACACGTGCCAAATTACAGCCGCCATTGCTGACCTTCTCTTGTCTTACCGAGATGCCGAGCAACTGAAACTGTAGTTGACGATCCTCTACAAAGGCCTATGCTTTAGAAAAGGACACAGTTGAATCTAATATGGCAATAACCTGGCCTGCTATGGTAATGATGAAGTGAAATAAACGGAATAAGAGGAAACAAAAACTGAATGTCAGTTATGGCGGCGTCCAGGCGCAGCTGCTGCAAAGCGTCTATACCATAAGGTGCCGATCATTTACCCATTTTACATTGAGCGCCCACTCCTCAATTTTGTTACGTTTGGAAAATACGAAAAGGGCATTCTGTGTCCTTCCTTTACCTAAGGGGAGTGACCAACACCCAGTTTTACGCAATTTTCTTCCAATTTCGAGCGGGCGCTCTCTCGGGATTTTGCGGTGTGTATTTTGCGCAATGTTATTGCTGCAAGACTCATTTTGGTTTGGAGCGGTTCTAAAGTTCCCCTTTCGAGTGCTTCCAGAGCTCCTATTTCAAAATGTCTCTAGAGAAATTTTTTTTTGAAAGAACTATTTATGGCAAAATGTGTTTGTAAGGTTATTTGGGGCGAAAGGGGCGGCGACTTTCTTTTGCGACAATCCCGGCATGTAAAGAAAAATGTTTTTCGGGAGCTCGGAGCTCTTTGACTAGCAGCCTTCTGGTGTACATTGGAAACGTTGGCGAGGTAGAAAGTGCGTTTGCCGTGTCGATTCTAGACTGGTTCCGTCGTTCTGTTGGTACCCACTCTTCCCCTCAATGTAAAGGATTTCCACTTTTCATGGGTAGGCGTTCGGCACCAACGGGTAGTTTCTGTGTCACTGTATGCGAGCTCTTCCAGCCACTAGACAGTGCCAAATTTGGGAAGGAGTCTGTCGTCTTGCAGCGAGACCACAGAGTCTGCAAAGCGCACACGGGGGTTGCACCTCCGGAGTTTGCCATTGGTCGCGAGAGCTTGTGCGAATGCTAGTGGCTTGCGGTGCAACTAGCGTTGGCTACGGTTTGCTGCTGCAGGGCGAGGAAGTTGTGAAACCTTGGTTGCCTGTTTTTGTCTAAAGTGGCGGGTGTTCGGTGCTTCCAGCGTGCGTCGGTGCGAGCGTCGATTAGAGCCCTCGGGCGCCACCTTGTCCGCCCGGGGGTGTCGGAACTGACGCAACAGCAGCCAATAGTGGAGCTTTTCGCTGACACCCCAAGAACCTCCGGTTCGGTGAAGGGCGTTAGATAGTAGACCTCCGCACATACACGCACTGCCGTCGTAGCCGGTCTTTATCTTTGACACGCCTATGCACGCGCCCCTCGAAAGACGTGTCGTCAACTTGGACTGGGAGTTTCGCATTTCATTGCACGTCCCAGGTTTGTTCTTCGTCCTATCCGCTCGAAGCTGCAGCCTCGTACGAGCACGGGGTCGTCCGAGCTGCATACTGATGGGGCTGCTTTTTTTAACCACTCTCCCTTCAATATGTTTGTCGGGACCTTAGTTACTGCTGCCATTTGGAACTGCCCGGAGACGTTTGGCCGACCAAAAGCACTGGTGCGGGCCTGTTAGTAGAAAGCGCTATCCAAAGAATGTAACAAGAATAGCCACGCCACAATCGTCGTTGGGACGAGTGGCCATCGTGGAGGCTCTGTTATGAAACGGATGCGGTGTCGAGGCTGGCAGAGTTTTGTAGAAGTAACGATTCAAATCAAGTTCGGAAAATCTCTCAAGTCGAATGGCGTCTGGGATTTCAGTTGCCGTTTCACACTCCCCGTACGGCGAGGAACTGTCCCGCAAAGACATTGGCACGTTCGAAATTTTGACTTGCGACTACAGCCTAAGCTCATTATAACAGACCTGGTTACAACAAATATTTGGATATAACTTACCGATTTGTGAGGTTCAGTTCGTTTTCTTCTATGCACCATTGACTGAACTTCATAGCTGCGTACAACATACTCCTCTTACAACAGACCGAAACCATGGTCTGTTTTAACGACCTTAGACTGTATAACCATGCTTTCAGCTTCAGGTCGCATTTTCCAGAAAACTGCATTCTCAGCCTAACTGTGGTCCGTTGCAACTCAAGAAGGTGGATTGGGGAGGAGGAAGCAGACAACGCTGGAGAAGAGAGGGGGAAACCTTCTTTTTTTAGCGTTTCATATGCTTCCTCATTCCTGGCCCGTCTTACTCTTGCCCTACCTTCTTGAGTTGCAACAAACTATACAATGTCTCACTTTTTTTTTTGTCACACATTAATAGGTTGCACTATTTTAACCCCTGTTTACTCTCGGTCTTAGTAGAGCTATTATTGGGATATTACGGTATGCTCTCAGAGCCAGGGGTTTTTGCAGGTGTTACTCTCCAGTGCACACCGCGGCCCCGTTTGGGAGCCGGTGTGTGGGGACCCTTGTCTGACCCTTGCTTCCTTTGTGCAGTCATAGGGCGAGGAGGAGAGCAGATCAGTCGCCTGCAAGCCGAATCCGGCTGCAAAATACAGATGGCTCCAGACTGTGGAGGCCAGCCAGACAGGCCGTGCACCCTGACGGGACCGAGGCACGCAATCGAGTGAGTGTGTACCCCTCCTCCCGTTGACGCTCTGCAAGTTTCTAATTGGAACCAAATGTCTATTTTCACTAATTACGGAGTTTATCGACAAATTTTGCTTAATTAGTTGACCGATGGTTATGATTATCCGCCTGTACGATGTCTCCCTGGACGTATAACTCACCTGCACGATTCGCATAAGTGAAGCTTTTGTGGCTTTTTTTAAACAAATCTGTTGAGCTTAAAAATAAAACCCTGTGCTGACGGGAGCTTGCAGCTGCGGTCCTAGAGAGAGGCGTGTTTGGAACCCCTGGGCTGTCTCGGAGCTTCTGCAGTGCAGAGACTAGAAGGCATCCCTCGGCCGTCGACGGAGAGTACCGAACACTCCTCGCGACGGAGAAGTCCTTCCGAGGTCAAGCGAGCATACCGGAAAGCCGTCCTCACAAGCTCCGCTTCTATCCGGCTTTTGTCGCAAACTGCTCCGAATCGCGCCTCGACTCGCCACTCGCAGTCGGGTACGGTTTGCAACGCCGGTTTCAGCAAATCTGTCGGGGAGGACTTTCGCAAGTGTGGGGCGAAGAGGGCCTCTCTTACGCACGGCCGTTGCCGCACCGCAGGAAGGCCAAGGACATGATCAACCAGATCATCAGCCGCGGGGGCGACCCCAGCCAGCTGAACGACGGCCACGTGATTGTGGAGCTGATGGTGCCCGGTCCCCGGGTGGGCCTGGTCATCGGCAAGGGTGGCGAGACCATCCGCGGCCTGCAGGTGGGTCGTCTGGTTACGCGGTAGTTTGCGGGTCCTGCACGACACTGTGCGAGCATGGTGCCGGAGATTCGTAGGAAATTGATTTCAAACTGGTGTTGTTGGGCACCAACTTTCGCTACGCAGGTTGGTGTCCCGATTGAGCACTCTTAGCCATCCTAGTGCTGACAGTGGCGGTCCTTCGATTCTGAAATAAAATGGAAAAGCCCGGCGATTTCTCGTACACTCGTTGCCGTGGCAATCTGTGGAAGGAGGCTAGCAAATTGCCGACCAGAAATGACAGAAATCGGGGGCCAAAGTAACATTTGACTCGCACAAAACCCGACGAATTGCATGCAACGGGCACTTTGTAGTCCTCTTCATTCGTGAAGATGGGCTTCGGGAACGCGGTCCTGCGAGAATTTCTTGAAAGCGTGTGAACTTTGGATCAACCTCTGCGGCGGGCGTAGTCCCGGGACCCGATGCTAATGGGTGTTCCTCCCGCGCAGGAAAGAGCCAATGTGAAAATGGTGATGATCCAAGACGGTCCTCAGCAATCTATGATGGACAAGCCCCTCCGCATTACCGGGGAAAAAAGCAAATGCGAGGTGAGGGGGCCCCTTTTCTGTCCGACCCGTCAATAGCCGGCAGTGCGTCCCATTTCTGACGCTCGTTTTTTTATGTTTTGCAGTACGCGAAAAGGCTGGTGCTTGACCTCATCACAGAAAAAGAGCTCGAGGTAAGCCTCCTCCTTTCTTTATTGACGTGTCTGCGGTTGTACCTGTGTTGGGGGGACCCTTTTCATCTTTGGGGACCGGCGACATGAACTCTTCCGGACCCCGACAAGGAAAGGGAAAGGATTCATGCCGAGAGGGATGGTCTACGTGCCTGGACTCTCTGCAGGACGCGTTAAACTCTCCCGGCACATTGCGTCCACCTCGCAGTCGGCGATTGGAGTGCCGTTTGTTTCGGAAGGCCTTTCACTTTTGAGTGGAGGATAGTCGGCTTGTTTTGGGGGTGGTGGGGGGTGGGACTTGGGAGAGTGTGACCAGTGGCGAGTGGGCTGTGGGGTTGTCGGTGTGTTGACTGGTTTGTGCCCGATTTGCCTTCTTGGGTAACACTCATGGCTCGTGAAGACGGACGGACAGCTCGAGCCAATGCATCCCCGATCTCTGGTCAGTCTGGCTTTGCTCTGCCTCCGGTTGGGGGGGGTCAGCTTTTCTGAAAGCCTCCGTCATTGGATGCTGGTGGCTGTCTCGAGCGGGCTTCTCAATGGGCCGCGTCTTTCCGTCGATTACGGACCTGGGACGTTTGGGTGCGGGGTTGCGGGAGGGTTGGCTGGGAGGAGAGACACCCACGAGCATACGATGCCGACAGCCTGGCCAGAACGAAAGAGTTTTGCTAGAACTCGCTGTGTAATGGCAGGTTGGCACCTACCGTCTGGCGCTAAGCAACCACCTGGAACGGCACTAATGCAGCGCCGACTTCATCGTAACTTAGACGCTGTATCACCCATGTGGTGTGAAGTCGGATCTGCATCGGTGAGGCCAGCACCATTTCTATCGCCGTGGTGTACGTGCAAACAGGCCTCAATTCATAGGAGTGTCCGTTGAAGCCAGTTTTTGAGGTGCTGTGTGGCTCGTGCAAGTAATTATCCGAGTGCTTACAGGCTTGTTTTAGTTAGGATAGTAATTTTTGTTGTGCAAGTCTCATCAAAAGTGGGTAATTGAAATAGCTGGTAATATCCCGGCTACCGTTCTACGCGGGAACAGTGGCCAGAAATGTCTGTCCTCTCCTTAGGGTGTCACCTATAAGATAGCGGAATGCTCTTTTCGAAGTTGAAAGGCCAAGCTGGGTAGGCTAAGGGTTAAATGCTACATTACTACACTTTTGTTTCTCTCTTTTGTGGTACTGTTGATGTTTTTGGTGCGGTCAGCTCCTTTTAAGCTCCTAAACTTGAAGATGCGCAAAGTCTATCGTGAAGACAGTTTGAAATGCACGACAAAGAAATATAGATGTCGGTTTTACGAAGCAGAATATGGTCACCGACACCGAAGGGCGGAGAGAGCGGTCCGAGCACCGGGGACGTCTGTCTTTGCAGAATGTGCGCCGAGGCTTCGGCGGCGGCGGAGGAGGAGGGGGAGGGGGCGGCGGCGGAGGAGAGTACGGTGGCCCCGGGGGCGGTGGCCCCGGAGGTCCGGGCGGCCCCGGCGGAGGGGGCCCCGGTGGAGCCTCGCAGGAGGTGCTGGTGCCAAAGCAGGCGGTGGGGGTAGTGATCGGCAAGCAGGGAGACATGATCAAGCGCATCCAGCAGGAGACCGGGGCCCGGGTGCAGTTCCAGCAGCCCCAGGACGACAACGCCCCCGACCGGGTCTGCCTGCTAACGGGGGGCCCCGAGCAGGTGCACCACGCGGCCTCCTTCATCGGGGAGCTCATCCAGAGCGTGCTGGTGAGTCCTGCCGCACGCCATCCGAGCCCCTCGATTAGGTCCGCGCTTCTTAGGAGTACCGGCGTTGCACAAACGCATGTGCCACGAGTGAGTGCTCTGCTGCTGTTTGCTCTCGAGCGCCGCCCGTTTTGGTGCTGGGCCTGTGTTCGCTTCAGAGGACTGCGCGAGAAACTGGCCTCGTGCATTGGTGCAGGTGATGCTACTCGTAAGACACACAGACGTATCGAGGGGCTTTACACGTCGAGGGTGGTGCATTTCTGCAGTATGAATGCCTGCGGTGTTGCGCGGCTCTTGCCCGGCAAATGGGGCAGGCAGTCTGACTAGGGAATAGAAGGCACGCGCTCGTAGGAGGGGAGGGGTTGCTCGTGAGGAACAGCAGGGTCGTACCGCATCTTGGTTGGTCGTCGTGACTTTGGCGCCTACCATATTTAGTCGCATAATGGATGCACCGCGCACAACTGGTGCCGATAGTTGTACTTTTTTTCCCCTCATGTAATGAACACACCTCTAATTTTCAGCTCTGCGAGTTTCGAATTGGGTCCAATTTAGTTAGCCACCAAGCCAATTTTCTTTTGCCGCCAAGAGGGTGGGCCCAGTCGAGCCAAGCCAAGCCGCTCTCGTAATGGCTGCAAGTGCGTAGTTGCAGAAGTGATCAACGGCGAAACCGAGCGGCGCACACACCTGACAAAGCTTAGGTCTATCGGATGCAATGATGTCAAGAAACATGCTGTCGTCTGTGGTCTGTTTTCAGACCTAAATTGTGAAATTAATTAGGCCTAAGAATGGTTGCATCGCTCTCCGGGCTGAGCGAGCTTCGTAGGCCGCTCTTCTTTCGACCCTAAAGGTTCGCAGTTTATAAAGCATGGTTACTTTGGCGTGCTTCCGACCAGTTGTGGGCGCCTCCATCAGTGGAGACGTGCCCAGTACCTTGCCTTGTCATATTGGCACCTAATATGACATTTGCTCAAAGTGTATAAATGTAAAAAATTTCACCCCGCCTAATGAACGCACCCTCCATATATGTGGCAATCTTTCAGAGAAAAAACTGCGTTCATTATGCGAGTCAATACAATAATTGTTTGTTCGTGCATGTGGTACTGTGTTGCATGATCTTGCAGCCTTCCGGCAAATGGCGAGCTTCTGGGGAGCCGTCGATTGTAACTGTCCTTATCCTAACCTTGGCGGGTCTGAGTGGTCTGCTTGTCTATAAAAGTGTCTTTCCGCGATATGCTGGCATCTAAACTCCGTTTCGGTTGAAGTGCAAGGTTCGAAGTGACTAGAGTAAAATCCCAGCGTTCATCCTACCTGCCGAAAATGTCCGCCTGTGCTGTGCGAGCATCCTCAGAGGCAGCACGCTTGGGATTGTTGCTTTGGCTTCGCTCTCGCATAACGAAACAAACTATGGTGCCTGCGCAGTTTTCTTTGGAACAAAACGCTCCGTGTAATGGCGTGCTTCTTAATCGCCAAGCTGACCTGGTTCTAGTAGTAGTGTTCGGTGCATGCACGAGGAGAGGGCGGTCTTGGCAGCACTTTTGGGGGTCCACGGCGTAGCATTGGGCATTTCTGAAGTGTGAAAGCGCGCAGAGGGGTGTTTCCTTCTCCCCCGTGGTTCCCGCCTGCACATTCCCCCGTCTGGGTCGTCCCTGCACGTGGCAGTTTGGGGAACATTTTGAGTTGGTTTTGCGGAGCAGAGTGCAAATACGGTACCTCTAACAGCGAGTGTTTGTCCACTGTTTTTGTCGCCACAGAATCGTTACCCAGGCAATAATAATCAACTGAGAGATTCTGGATTTCATCCGCCCATTGTGAGTGCTAATTTTCTGTGAAATAGCAATTCCGAGTGAAGCTTTCCGGTTTGTCTACGTGGCTTGCAGTGTGCCTTTTCTTTATCTCTTGAAGCCTACTTTATGTGTTGGAGTACCAGAGCAATGCTTTAGCTGTTGAGCTCTATATATTTACGGTGCTTCCGAGATTTGTGCTGCTGTTTGATGGTCGTTTTGTTGGACAACCATCTAATCTGGCTGGGGGAAAGCTTGTGTAACATTTCTTTGCAGATATCGGAAAGCATAAAAGAATATTATGAGATTTATTTGAGACTCGGCATTATTTCTCAGTTTTTTTGTTGCGAGATAAAAATGGTGTCCTTCCTTTCTGTACTTGGCATTAAATAAGGGCTAGTGTAGCCTCCAGTGTGCTTTACTTACCACCGCTCTGCTGTGCGAGCACGTGGCCTTGTCGCGCATGCGCTTTAATCTAAAGGAGGCGTCCAACAAAGTCCCGTGCTCGTGCAAGCAGCTTTGTCAGCATTCAAACACTATGGAAACCAGGCTAGCCTTGGCAACACTGAAAAACTAAGTTGACACTTAATATATAGTACCATCTTAATTGCACTTTTGAGGTGTTCAATTATTAATTTTAGATAGGTTCTGCCACAACCAGTGGCTATCGTATTTGCACTATTGTAATGCAAACCCTTTCTCCCATTTTTCTTTGGTGTGCCAGAGATGACCCAATAATTTTACCCATTGTCTCTTCCACTGGATGTTCCAATGCCAACTTGCGTTTGATGGTTGTGTAACTTGACCCATATCTTCCCCTACAGTTTTTTTCTTTGCCTACCCTCGACCAACCAGAGCTTTTTGCCAGGGATGCTTCACGGCAGTTCTTGTGTTCAAACGTGACGGGGTGGGGTGCTGTACAGCTCATTCATTCGTTATTCGTTAGTGATTGCCGGCGTGCCACTTTCCTCAGTAAAGGAGGTGCATTACGCATGTGCAAATATGGTATTGGAGCCGGGACTTTTTCTGGCGGTGTGGTTGATGACGGACGGCTGTTGAGGGCTTTGCGCTCGGACGCAGATTCATGTTTGGCTTGCAGATAGTACTACGAGACTAAGCGTATCAAACGAGGTCTTGCACACAAAGGTTTGCATTGAAAAGAAGGGCATTTGGGCACTATTGAGTGTTCTGCTAGCTTAGAAGCAAACTTGCAAGGTGTAGCACGATTTCTCTGCGTGCAGAATCCCAGTCACAAACGCCCCGCATCATTAGCCCCATGTTCCAAAAACTCTGCGTTCAGTTACCCCATACTGTATTCCCCTGTGCCAAAAGCGCAGCCTTCACCGCCCCCGTCTCATCCTCTGTTGTTTGAGTGTGAGAAGAGGTGTAAATTTGAACCACGCTGAGTCGTGAACTCTGACCTGTACGAGGCGGAGTTAAAGTGGAGGGAAGCGCAGTCAAGCGCAGTCCTTTTAACACTGTTGGAGAAACGTTGTATCAGTTTGAGATGTGTGTAGAATACTGCTCTTCCAGGTGCATGTACAATGACATCGGCGTTTCACGCAGAATGCACCTTGTACGGAATATTGTGAAGGTTTAAAAAAGGAAAATGGGCTGCAAACAGGGTAAATAAAAGGCCTTAGCCTAAATTGCTCGCTGATATAAGTCACAGATTTGTTGTGAGAGAAAGGTTCCTGCAGTGAAGCCCACAGTTTTCTTAGGATCTGCAGGCTAAATTTCTTGACAAAAAGTCTATAGAAATCAAATGGGCAGGTTGAATTGACGGGTGTTTGTGATTAAATTAAGACACAAGTTTTTAAAATAAATTTTTAGCTAGATGTTTAGGGTTCACAGTTACTATGGGATGCAGGACTTGTTGCCAAGTCAACCGCATCTAATTGAGTGCCGTCACAGACTAGGTGAGAACAGCCGGCAAAAGCTCCAGTTGTCCACATGCTCGAGACACCCATGGGTGTCTCGAGCATGTGCACACAGCCAAAGCACACACTGGAGGGTTTGAAAGACACACTCTGCCATCTCATTGTGTCTGTCACTATTCTCAGCTCCAGACAAACACAATGCCTGGGAGCAGAGCTGGTGGGGCCAGCAACCACTTTAGCCAATGTTCTCGTTTAATGTCCTTCTTTCTAGGCAACAGTTCAGTGTAACCAGTTTGGTGTAACTCGACTCGGAATTTTTGAAGGGAGCATTGAGTGACTCGCTGGCAAAAGGCCTTTTGGTGGTTGACAGCCTAAAAAATGTAGACTCATTGCTGCTGCGACGCGGACATTGTGTATGGATGCATGGTTTTGCGCAAAAAAGACGGACACAAGAGAGAGAAACAAACACGAGTGCCACTTACAACTGTATTGAGGAAACCTTTAGAAAACATACTGATATATCGTCAACTTCAATGCGTCGTGTCACTATCACACTCTCGTCGCAGAAACTTATCCAGGAAGCGTTTCTCAGCTTCCTTGATGAGTTTCTGTGACGAAACTTGCGCTCGTGTTTGTTTCTCTCTCTTGTGTCCGTCTTTTTTGCGCAAAGCCATGTATCCAAACGTTCACCAACTCGCCCAACAAACTATTTTGCATTGTGTATGTTTTTGAGGCACGAGTAATCGTGATGCTGTGGCCGCTGGAAGTGTTGTCCCTCGCTTTTTAAAAGCAGACACTTGTCCTCACTAAGCATATGCGGCGGGGAGACTGCTACAGGGCTGCTTAATGGGGTTTTCTCTAAATCAATTACAATTTGTTTCTAGAATTTCTAGTCTAGATTTAACAAGAATCGGTTATAACTATTGAATTTTCCGGTTTACGGTACTTATCGTTATAAGTGGATTGCAGTGTAATTGTGAAATCTGCTAACTCCTTCGGTGTGCTTAAGGGGCTTTTATTAGTGGGTAGCAACCAAGTGCCAGGTGCAGTTGTAAACCTGTTTTAGGAGGTACATAGATTTTATACTCATATTCACCAAGAACCGTAGTAAAAAGAATGGCCGGCATCTCACTGAACGCTATTACAGTATAACGTTGTTACAGCAGACATTCGGTTGTAACCATATATGAAGTTTCGTTGTTCTTCCTACCTATGCTATTGAGCCAACTTTCCTTAGGAGAGATTTTGTTTTATCATTTGGATATAATAGATTATATCTGGGCAATTTCTAATTAGTTCACCACTCCATTATACCAGACTGTTCGACGGCAGCCGTGATTTTAATGAGTAGGAGGGTTTGGCTTGGTGGTGATGGCATCCATCTTGCAAACCGTAGTCGTCGCACTCGGCGCCGCGCAATGCTCAAACGGCCCAAAGCACATAGTGATAACGACCGTCGGTGCAGCTTAATAAAAAATCTGTTCGTTTCAAAGTTGAGAAGTTGCAACGAACCAGTTCTTCTCTAATATCCATTCACATATAGTCAGTCTTGCTGGTTGGAACAGGCGCTAGTCATAATAAACACCAAGGTCTGTAGTAAGGGTACCTGCGTTGTACATAGTACTCCCTAGACCAAATCTTTGCCACTATGACTGTCAGTTATAAATTTACGCTAATTTTGACCTTGATGCTTCGAATTAAGCTAAATGTTGTTGCAACCGAGGTTAACATTGCATATTTTTATCAATACGAAAAGCGTAGTTTCTTGCTTAGACAACTAAACCTTATAAGTATACTACCTTGCGCGGCACACAAATAATGCGCGAAACTTCGTTGTTTCTCGGTGCGACGAGTATGGGACGTCAGTCTTTTCGAGGGGGAAATTTGGGAGGCCTTTTTCATTTCCAAGTGCGAAGATGGACGCGTCTTGATCGCGTCATTTGAGCAGGTGGCTTTTTCGAGTTGCTTCAGCGCGTGTCCGCCACGGAGAATTCTATTTGTAGTGTTCCAGTTTCACGTCGGCATGTGTTTCTTACAAAATAAGGAAGTCGGTGCTCCATCTACGTATCCTGTATTTATCTTGGGCGCGCGACGGCAGAAGTTGTCTCATGTCTCCTGTGGATCAATGTTAAGGTGGCGTGGCGTCGCTTCAGACATATGCAAAGGAAAACAAAAAAAAATTTAAACAGCCTGAGTGGTTAAAGAATGTCATAAAACAAATTTACGACGAAAAGAAATAATTTTAGAGTTATATTTATGGTGCAAAACTAATTTCTTGTCGGTGCCTACGAGAGCCCACGGAAAAGTGGTTGCTTAAAAGATGGCTCCTGCTTCATTTTTGTTTTTGTAAAAACAATGCAGTCCTCTTCAGTATCGCCTAGGAAGATCAGGCATCAAATATTACAACATAGTTCTGTCTAAATGCTTCCTAAATGATCCGGCAAACTTTGCAACTCACCAAGTTGCCGAAATCAGCTCACTCGAGCGGGCGACTTTAGGTGCAACCAACAGCGCAGTCAAGTCTACGGTGTGGGCCAACATTGGAGCTAAACGTCACCATTGCCCCCTTCCGGGCAAGCGCGACGGGTGACGTCAGCTGCGTTTCCTCTCGGCGCACCTGTGCAGTGCACTTCTCGGGAGCCGTCCGAGCGCCCTGCCGTTACCGCTGCCTTTTCCGTCGGAACCGCTGTCGTCGTCGTCTCACCGTTCGTGATTATTGTCTCTCGGAGTTAGGTTCACACTACGGACACTATGTGCGCATACTGATGTTGCAGTTGTGCAGACATTATTGAATGTCCTAGACACCAAAACGTGGCTAAGGGCTGTTATACTCCGACGTAATGCGTGCGTGCGAGCGCGTCACAGCGACGTCACGTCGGCGAAAACCCGACGCTCTATACTCCGGCGTCGTGGCGTAACCGACGCCACCGGCGGCGTTCGACGGAACCTGACCGCCTTGACGCCAAAATGGAGCATGCCGTATTTCACGCCGGCCGCGCCAGCGACGCCGGACCAGGATGCATCATGCGCTGGAAGCGCGGCGAATACGAGCAATAGCAGACGACGGGAGCACCACTCCGCGTGGCATCATGTTTGAAGAATCGGACTTGGTCGGTCGAGAAGCTCATCGAGGGAATTTGTCCTCACCCGTGTGTCTACGACACGAGGAAGCTTGAGTACCGTAGACAGTGCGCTTGTCAAAGATGTGCCGTATGTACATTAACCGCCTACGTTTGCGGCGCAGGCGGTGCACCAACAGTGCAAGCGTGAGTTTTCGTCGGGCAAGGTACGTCCACGCCATCGCTCGAACTTGGCGCTCAAGAAGCGCAAGAATTCTCGTCTGCTATTCGAAACGAAAATGAACCGGAAATGGCGCACTCTCGCAGGAAGCGCGCCCTCGCAGCCAGATTCTGCGCATGCGCCGTGCTGGCGACCCACCGACGCGCGCCGCGGGAGTCGCCAGGGCCGCCGGAGTACAGAGAGGTCGAATTTTTGACGCGCGCGGCGTGATTGACGTGACGTAGCCGACATCGGCCAGCGTTCGTTTGCGCGCGCGTTACGTCAGAGTATAACAGCCTTAAGAGTGCGGTGCAGACAACACTTGCGCCTGTCACGCGCCCGCCCCAATCCTGCCTGTTGTTGCGGAGAGGATCACGTGACATCCTGTACCACGTGATAGCCATGTTCTTGGTGGCCAGAGGCCAGTGTTGCCGGACAGAGCCGAAGTTTTGGTTTCGACTTCTGCTCGTGTTGGAAATTAAATTAAAAAACATATATCCCATTTTTCGCGAAGCAAATGACTTGGTGTCTTCTCTTGGGGCTTTTTAATGCGAAATCACTCATCCCGAAATCTTTGGAATTGAGCCGAGTGACCCTTTAAGTCGCATGACTGGCTGATATAGTCATATGGTGCTAGCGCTCTTTTAGCAGCTTCCTATGGGCTCTAAAAGTTTGTTTTAAGTGCAACAAAAAATAAATATATTAATCAGTAACTTTTAGAGTTTATACGAAGCTCCCAAAAGAACACAAGCACCACGCAATATAGTCCTCAACGGCGGCGTGCCATGTTCAGTGTGTGGCTGCGGCGGTGCAGCATGGTTGTGCACAGGTTTACCATGTGACTACTAATGGCTCCCGCGGGCGCCAACTACAAATTAGTTTCGCGCTGTAAAAATAACAACAAAAAAAATTTTTTTTTTTTTTTTTTAAATTTGTTTTGTCATTTATTTCTTATCCAAACTGTAAAAAATATTTCCTTTGCATATGTTGTTTAAGGCTGGTTGCGACATTTCAGTGTGCTCCCTCGAGACCGCCGAAGGTGCTGTCTAGCCCCGCACCACTACCAGCCCCGGTATACCTACGCTGAAGGTTTCAGTCTCGCCTGCAAGAAATAGTCGCTCGTAACGTGGTCGAAATGACCAAGTCTGCGACAAATGAGTGTCAAATGTACATGCAGGGTGTTTGGGGTTGCCCCATGGGTGGTGCCAGTGTGTTAGAAAGAAATACTCTAGATTCCGTTCAGAGCCAAAGGTAGCCTTTGGAGAGACGAGTGTGGGGATGGCATTCCCCGTGGAAGCGTACCCTGAGCGAAGGCGTGTGTTGCCTTGCAGGCCCGTGACCAGCAGAACATGGGCCGGGGTCGAGGGGGCCGTGGCCGGGGGGGCTTTGACGGGGGCTTTGGGGGTCCCCCGGGGGGCCCCGGCATGGGCCGAGGGGGACGCCGGGGAGGAGGGGATGACATGCACGAGGTGCAGTACACGGTGCCCGCCAACAAGTGCGGCCTGGTCATCGGCAAGGGTGAGTCTCTCTCCCCCCCTGCACGGTGGGGCATTTTCTCCTTTTGTGTTTCGGGCTAGGAATGGGTAAATGAAAGTGCACTGAAATTTCCCCGCTAAATTTGGCGAGAAAAGCAGAGTTGCGATAATTATAGGCTGGTTTAATTTTCTTGCTAGGAAAGCGCTTACGTCTACGAGTTAGCCTGAGGAAACTCTGTGCGCAAGTAATAAAAGCGTATGGAGCATAAGATTAGTTCTGCTTTGCACTGTAGCATAAACTTGCTCTTGGGACGTATTGGAATGGTTGGTTGCGGACCTGTGAGCTTAGCTTTGTTTTTGCGAAAAATTGGGCCAACGCCCTCGGTGTTTTTGAAGGGGGGCGGTCCGCCGTGTGTGGTTGGGGTTGTTGTTCTTGAAGGGTCATTTTCTCTTCTGCTTTGTAGTCCAACGGTACAAAGTTTAGCTGCTTTTGACAAAATGGGAGGATTTTTAACCAGATTCCAGTTTGGATATCTTAGCAAAAGACCTCATAAATATTCGGCTGCAGCCAAGGCCCGCACTGCCCAGCCTCAGTGGGGACTAACGTCGGTTTGTGGGCAGCTGGCAGACTGAAAAGTGGGCACCACCCCGAGCTAAGCACGTGCAAAGCACCCTTGCACGACCTCGTACCCCTCGCCAACCTTCCTTTGGCGCGGGGCAAGGAAGTTTGTGCGACAGGAAGCTCGGCGCGTGGGGTTACAGCGGTGCCTGTCTAGCCTCGCTGCGTTCAGAGCACCGTGTCAGAACCCACGCACATTCCTCGCTTCGTCGGAATCTCACGTTGCTCCCCCCCTTTCGTTTTTGCACGCTAGTCGAAACTGATTGAGGCCGTTGTTAATCGAAACTGCCATCCATAAACTTTGCCGAGGTGTGTCTGACTGTGCCCCCGCTCGGCTGTGCCAGGTGGGGAAGCGATCCGCCAGATCAACCAGCAGTCTGGCGCCCACGTGGAGCTTTCGCGTGCTCCTCCCCCCAACCCGGTGGAGAAGGTCTTCATCATCCGTGGCAACCCCCAGCAGATTGAGCACGCCCAGCAGCTCATCAACGAGCGAATAGGAGGGGTGAGCTTTCTTTCATTGCGCACTGGAGCTGTTCGGGCTAAGGTGCTTTGAAGGCCGAAAAGAGGCAAGTTTTAGGATTTCACGGCCGGAAAGACTCTGCATCGAGGAAGGAAGCGCCAGCACCAGGAAACTTGAGCTACAGTTACAACTGTAGCTCAAGTAGGCAAAAAGGCAGAAGTCAAACAAAAAGCTGCTTCCTCGAAGTCTCCATTATCTCTTCCTTTCTGACGTGTACATCTGTGCAGCAAAAGTGGCATTTGTGGTGTGTAAAAAAATGTTTGACTCCAAAACTTCTTTGTATTGCGTCCTTGAAAATGTTTCGACAGAGCCTTGAACACCATTGACAACCAAGAATATTTTTTCCCTAAAGCTCTCGTGTATTTTGTAAATAAAACAGTTGAGAATGTTTTCCCAATGATTGTTCACTTTACTGTAGAGGCCCTACTGTGCTAGCTTTATTTGTGAGTTAGCGGAGTGTCTTGGGTTGACGCTCTGCTTGTGGCTGAAGCGCCTGCCCGCTCTCTGTGCAGCCTCCACCAGGTGCGTCGAATGGACAAGGCCCACCCAACTACCCGACGCAGTACCCGCAGCCCTAGTAAGTGTCCCCCGTCGCGGGTTGTGTCTGCTACCGCATGAATCTAACCGGCTCGTAGTGGATGCCATATTCGCTCTCTCTTGTCTACTGGACTACTTGCACGGGGACGAAAGATGTAGATCGGCCTTAAAAGGGCGGTGCAACGATTCTTGAACTTTGGCCAATTAATCTCTCCTCTAGAATGAAGAACATAAAGCCGTTTTTTTCTCGCAAGGTCTAGTTCTTATTAAAAGAATGAAATGAGTCGAAGGGCAAAGTGCCCCTCTACACTCGCGCCTTCTTACGAGCGACGTCACTGCAAGACTACCTTGTTTCCCTTTGGACCCTGTCTTAGGGGCCCCACCTGGTGCCTCTCCGATTGTGGCCTTTTCAAGGATTAGCGTCGTCGAAGGTCATGGCGAGCGGCTGAGACAAAAGACAGTCTGCTACGGGGCTGACGGCTTTCTGGACTTTCGTGTACCCTAGTGACAAGACACCATGGTCCCCGTAACCTCTGCATGCGGCTGCAGATTGGCAAACGTTTTGTTTTTTTCCCTCGCTATTACGCGGCAGATGGGCAGTGTTTCGGGGGAAGGTGGCACGGTTTTTCTCAGTTGCGTCTAGATAAAAAATATAAAAAAATATTTTTTCAACTATTATAGGAAATAATTTTAGCGTTAAAATCCTTTCAACGTTAAAATTATTGCCTCCCCTTTAAAGGTTTTAAATGGTTTTGAACGCGCATAAAATAACAAATGAACGCTGTAGCTTAGAGTGGCTCTATTCCGGCCTCTATGGTTGTAACCGACGGTGTCCTCGGTGCTCGGGTCTGACTGGACTTGACGGCGGCCAGAGTTGCTCTCTTGAGCCGTCCAGTAAGCGCCTTTTTGGGGTTCGCGGTAGACGTTCCGTAGATTTTCGCCTCTACGTCCCTCTGGATGCCGACCTTGAGCGGCTACAGTGTACGAGTAAGCCCACCTTGGACCGCACGTTTAGTCCAGCACCAAACGCAAATCTTGTCGACACCGTATTTGTGACCCGTTGCACGTCTGCTGCACTCCAGGGCATAAGTGGCAGTCGGAAAATACTTGGGGCCCGCATGAACCATCATCGCGAATACAAAGCATTCACGAGGGCCTAAGAGCAACGTTGGGAAACCTGAGAATCCGATGTGAGAGTGGCTGTTGTCACATGGTGAGAGGCGACCGAAAACGATACGACAATGATACTTTCAGAACTCCCATAGTCTTATCTGCGCTTCAGAACACGGCAAAAAGCGGAGCGGAGGTGCAAGCGTGTTGGGGTAAGCGTAGCGGAGTGAGCTCCACACTGTTCAAGAGGTCGGTGCACGTCGAAAAAGTTGCGCGGTTAATAGAAGTCGAGTGTAGTTGCATTTGGCAGGAATGTGGGAACTTGCACCGGTAAAATGTGGCAAAGAATGGCGAAGAGTATTTTTTGTGCGCACGCTCCAACCTGTTAATTTTTCACATGGAGCATCAGGCAATAGCTCATTTTGCTCTTTATGCGGGCACTAATGTCTGGTTACACCAAAATGGAAAGGACACACCGATGCTTGCGCTCCAAAAGTCCTCTTTACTGCTCCAGAGTTGCTAGAGTGAACCGTATAGCTGTTCTACTAAAACTTGCTCATCGGCTGTACTGGCTGTGCTACTTCTAATAGAGTTCCCAAACCTTGTAAAGACCATAAGTGGTGACCTGCCCTCTGGATTGTGATTGGCCTCTGCTCCCACGTGTACTTGCAGCCAGCAGCCGCCCCCTCCGAACCAGCCGTACGCTCCCCAGGGCTGGGGCAACGCCTACCAACACTGGCAGAACCAGAGTGCCCCTCCAAATGACCCCTGTGAGTTCTGGCCTTCTTTTTTCTTGTGCGTTTTGTCATCTTGCTCTGCACCTGCTATTGTCACCGGCAGAAGAGTGGTTGATGTCGCTGCGCTGGCCTCATTTCTAGCCATTGCCACCGAAATTGCTGGACCATAGTACTCGTGAGACCTCTCCGTGCAGATTGGGTTTTATGGGTTATTTTCTGCAAGTTAATAGTGACAAACGAGCGTTGCGCAAAATAGAAGTTGAATGAAAGAAATTTTAAGGGGGGCCACTACCCCAAAAAGTTAATGTTTGAATTGCTTGTTTGATTTACTTTACATTTACAGGACTTGTTTCTGTTGATGTTGAGAACAATTATGCCAAATTTTGTTACCCTGAGTGAAGTACAAAAAAAAGCAAATTTTTAAAGAGGAAAGTGGGCCTGTCGCATTAGAAAAGTATCATTTTGAAATTACTTATAGATTTGTCGTTTTCATCTGTTTTATTGTCTTAGGACAGTTTAGAGCAGATAGCTCTTGGGCAGGAGATCCAACTATAGGGGGCGCTCTGACCCGTTTGTTTTCCCCACGCTCGGTGTTTACTCAACACAAGGCCTGTGCACATGCCGACAGGCTTTATGGGCATGTCCATGTCATCTTCTACAATAGAGCGCGGGGCACAGTTTAATGTAAAAAATACTAACAATCGACGAAGCGGCGTTAAGTGCCGGATCTATCCTCAGAGAATGTGAGCTTGACCCACTTCGGCTTTTGTGCTGAGCTGGGATCGTGCATGCTGCATTGTTCATGCAGGCCGTAGTGGAAACAAGAGCCCCTCCTCCCCCTCGCCGGAGAACACGAACTCCAGCCGAACGCTGACGCCGCGTTCGGTTATGTCGGCCGAGCGCTGCGTCATTGTATTTGTTGTCCCCATCCGTGTAGTTGTTAGGTTAACCGCTTGGGGCGTCACGGTCTGTTCTCCCCAATAGAGCTATATTTCTATTTTATACTATCTTTCAGGAGAAAAAAGCCACATAAACACAAATGCTGTTTTTTAGATTTCCATCCTTTGTCCAAAAATCTAGTTTTGAGCACGAAAAATTACAAGAATAAAAAATACAAGCTGATAGCTATCTTTCCCTTATAATTTCACCCTAGAAAAACTCATAAAAATGAATCTAAGTTAGGTAATAATGATACAATAGTTTTCCTGAAGTGTAATTTTTGCCAAAGAGTAAAATGGAGAAAAATCGTTCAAAGTGCTCCAACCTGCACCTTTAGCATCGGTGGACCTAAAGTAATTTATATAAAAATAACTGCGCAGAGTAAACAAATCAACCTTTCTGGGAATACTCTCTAGATGTTGGTGAATGTAAATAATATGACATTTTTCAAAATCAACTTTTTTTGCAGAAATGTTTTCTGGGTAGTGTTCCCCCCTTAACGGAAGTGTAGAGTACCGGTTTTTGCGAAGGGGGGCGGTGCATTGACCGGAGCATGCTTCTTCCGATGCAGCCAAGGCGGCGGCGGACGCCAATGCGGCTGCCTGGGCGGCCTACTACGCCCAGTACTACGGACAGCAGGGAGGCCAGCCCCCCCAGCAGCCCCAGCCCCAACCCCAGCCCCCGCAGGGAGGGGCCCCCGCCCAGGCCATGCCCAACCAAGCCCCCCAGCAACAGGCTCCCCAGGCAGGGGCACCCGCAGGTGGGTGCTTCCGTCCCGTTTGCGAGTTCAATCGGGGCCGGTGCACGCGTTTTCTGGGTCTCGTTTTTTCGAAGTGTGGAGGCTCTGTATTGGGGGGTGCCTCCTGTCCGTCGAAGCTTCGCGAGTGACCACGGAGGCACTTCCTTCGGTTTTGTTCTGCGCGACTTGCCTCGACGTCCGTCGTCGAGATAAGCGAGACAACCTGTTTGTACGTTAGGCAACGGTTGAAATTGGTGCCCCCCAAATCTGGGCATGGCGTGCCGGGACCGACCTCTGACCCGCACTGCCAAATCTTGGGGGGCCACAGCAAAAGCCCTCCGTTTAATCCCTGTGCCGGCCATTGGTGACGGCCGCAGATTCATGGCGGAGGCACACTCGCTGGTCGGGGTTCTCTGGCGAGCCCCCCTGTCGGGAGGGAGGGTGTAGACGTCCCCTTGGCGGTTGCAGGTGCCCAGCCGGACTACAGCCAGGCGTGGATAGAGTACTACCGGTCGCTCGGCATGTTCCGGGAGGCCGAGATGATCGAGCACCAGACCAGAGGGAACCAGAGCCAGCAGGTGGGTGCTTGCTCTTTTGAGTGTCTTTCCAGGGGCGAATTTATGGCTAAAGTAGAGAAAAAAGTATTTTGTTTTTGTGCGCTAGGAAGTTTTAAGGTGTCCGAAAAGGAAACTATTAGTCATAATTCAATGTTGTTACAGCTTAGAAATGCCCAACTAATTTTTATTAGTCTTTTCTATTTTATAAACCCACACTTGCTGCTTCAGTGGTTCAATAATTTGCACTATATGTAGTAAAAAAGGAGAGGGAGGGGGAGAGAAAGGAGAGGGAGGGGGAGAGACACTTCCCTATGCATAGTTCTATATTCTACATCTCAACTGACTATCCCCATTTGGGCAAGTCAGGCAATGAGTCGCGTGGCGTAACAGTTTTAGCAGAGACTCTATCAAATAGGATGCATCAGTTTACACAAAGAAACCATGAAGACTGGAGAAGAAAGGATTTGTCAGCAAGGCAAATGTAAGAAGGCCGAATAATATGGAGACTTTCTGAGATTCCTTGACGAACGTGATCAAGATGCCTCGTTATTTTAATTGTTAGTTATCGAATCACTCGAAAATGCCCCCCTCCGAACCCCAAATCCGACCCTGTGTTTTTCTTGTTTTAGTCCGTGGCACATAGTTCGGAGCAAGGGTGGAACGCAGGAGAGGCAAAAAATAAATGACCATGCGGTTTTGGGTTGTTTCGCAGTAGGACCCGTCCAAATGTATATGTTGCCTTCGTCTGATATCTTTGTAGGAGAGCACCTGAAGACGAGGTGCAAGACAAAGATGCACACTCGCAGCGAGGGACAGCTTTGAATGCTGTGCTAGTCTCGGAGTGTAGTGCAAAAGAGTGGCCACCTAGTGTGGGGTTGGCCCTCCTCCCCCTGCGTCGTAGAGTTTACACGACGGTAGACAAAAGGGCGTGCCAGGATTGTACGCATTTCGGTCACCTTGAAATTCGGTGCAGTAGCAGACATTTTTTTAATGCGAAAGCATTAACAGTCCATGGAGCAAGCCGGCGTCATCGGCTTTGAAGCTGCTCCAAGTGGCACCTTAACTCCCTTCTCCAAGTGAAGCCCAGCTATGAAACCACGCGAAAAGCCTAGCCAAATGGCACCTAGTTTACCCGATCCCAAAGGAGCGGAGTAAAGCTGATGGATTTCGGTTTTGGTCCCATTGGCTGGCGTGCATCGACAAGGCTTCCATAAGCCGCTGTGCGTCAGTTTCAACAACCTACACCCCATGGCGCAGCGTGGCCGTCAGTGCGCCGGTAACACGAGGCGTCTAAGCTCAGAGCGGCGAGGAGAAAGCGTGCTCTGCCATCGACGCAAGTGCACAAACGCAAATGACGTGCATGCTTTCGCGTTCACAAGTGATAAGAGGTGCCTAGGTGTACCGCGAGCCTTTTTCCCGTGCTCTCTTTTTCTCCTGTTTGGGGAGCCGAGGAGAGCGCTCGAGCTTTGCCGCTCTCCCCTATTGTTGTGCCCTGACACGGGCTCCCCTCCCTACCCCAGGGGCAGCAGCCGTTCCCCCAGGGAGGCGGGGCGGGCGGTCCGGCCCCCGGCCAGCCGGCCCCGGGGGGTCCCGCCCCCACAGGCCCTCCCGGGGGGGGCGCCCCGGGAGTGCCCCCGGGCAACGCCTACCCGGCTGCGGGCGGCTACCCCCCGCAGCAGCAGCAGCCGCCCCAGCAGCAGGCCCCCCAGCAGCAGCCCCCCCAGCAGCCCTACGGGGCCCCGGGGGGACAGTATGCGGGCTACAACTACGCCGGCTACGCGGGGGCACAGTGAGCTGGACTCCGGTGAGTGGGACTTCTGGCCTAGAAACTACACTGGGGGAGTGTTCTTGTCTCGTTTACTTCCTGTACAAGCCACATAGGTCATGAAATGCAGTTTCTCTTTGGAGGTTTTTTTACGTAGCGTTTACCAATGAAGTGTATGTTGCTGGAAATCTGTTGAAAGAATGGATGCAGACGTAAAATGCGGAACGACGCAAGCACGCTTTTGGGAAGTGGGCTTGCATAGTCCTTCGTTTGGAGTGCTCCTTTTTATCTGCGAGTGTTTGGAGCGCAAGACACTTTTGAAGCCAAGACCCCTTCCCGTTTCTCCGCCACCTTCTGGCGGTGTGTCGAGGCGAGGGATGTGGGAGGCTGGCGAAAAGGCTTCTGCCTCGACGTGGCTGCGACGTCAACCTGTTTGTTTTCAAGGTGACTGGCTGACAAAACGCTCGGAGTTGTCGATGCATCCATACTCTTTTCAGGGAGAAAATGTGTCTCGTGACGTAGGTGGCACTATTCGTACAGTTTCGGAAAAGCGTCTTCTCGGCTCTCGTGGTCCGTTTTAGAGGCTGTGTAAGGGAAGGAGGGCCTTTTAATTAATCTAGTCCCTCGGTCTGGGTCTCGTGCCACTGCGATGGGTTGAGTGCAGTCTCGAACAGGCTGGGTGGTGTGGTTTCTCATTTACTGGAGTGCAATGGATTACAGGACCACCGGTCATAATATGTGGTCGGCTGCATCGTTGAAAAGTGGAAAGCTTGTTTTCCACTTTTTTGTTTATTCTTCCGTGTCTGTTTCACTCGACCGAGGGATCTTTACTGCCCCTCAAGCTCGAAAGGTATCATCGCAGTTTGAGGGGCTAAGTATCCGAGACTAGCTTCTGCCCAGCAGAAGCGGCCAAGCATAGATAGGCTCGTGCGCTCCGATTTGGAGGACGGTCGGGCAAATGTCGGTGTTGGGTTTGCGACCCCTGGACCGAGGACGGTGGGCGAGTTCAGGTAAGGCTGCTGGGGTCTTTTCCTTTGCCGGTGCATTTTGTTGTGGCAGTGCTGGGGCCTGTGCGTGCGGGTGACTCAGGTTGGCGCCTGTGTTTTGTTGTCTGTGTCTTTTGCAGATTGTTGAGCTGTCCGCCTAGCAGTGCTACCCTCTTGCCCCCTTCATCCCGTTGAGTCGGATTTTTGATGAGAGCGTGCAATGTGTTGCGTGTTGCCTCTGCCCGGGGGGCGGCGCAGGACGGGCCGCTGCCTAGGGCCCGCCGGTCTCCCCCTCCTTTCACTCTTCTTTTTTTTTTTTGCTTTTAAATTGCTCTTGTCATTTCCAATGGCCCTCAGTTAGGTCTAGGAAGGTGGAGAGGAGTCGTTCACTCTAGGCACACATAGGCAGACATTCCGACACATTGGTCAGGCACGCGGCACGGAGCTAAACCATTCAACCTTTCTCTTTTCGTATTTCATCCCTAGCTTTGCAAGTAATTCTGAAGCGGGGTTCAATGTAAACTTGGGCGCCGGTTCGTTCATTTCCTTCGCTGTTTTATTATTTTTTTTTTTCTTCTTTTGCCACCTTTCAAGCATTGTCACATTTTTTTTATTAGTGTACAGGCACTCGTTGAGGAATTCATTGTTACCCAATTCTAGATTGGCCATTGGGGCATTTTTTTTGTTTGTTTTTGGTATTTTTCAATATTTTTTTTTCTCCCTTTTCTTCCCCCTTTTGTACTGTGTGAAATAAACTTGTACGTGACATGTGCCCTATTGTGCAGTGATGCAGTTGTCGGTTTTTTACTCGGGCTGTCGAGGTTCGTAGTACAAGCATCGCTTTGTCCGAACTGTGTCGGTCTTTCGGTGCTTCAGTCGGCCTTCCGGACGAGCGATGGTTGTAGTGCGACGGGGGCTCTCTTTTCTGGGCTGAGAAGTGGCGGGAGTCGGCCGTGAAACGTAGCACCGGTTTGGAAGATTCCGCTGGCAGGATTGATTGCTGCAAATGCGACCGTCCCTCTTGCTGATCTCGTTTGATTGGTGATGTGTAGCTGGCATTCACCCTTTCGTCTTTATGTTCTAGGGGCGCCGTTCTCACTACCCGAGGAACCCTCGCAAAATAGCACGATCAGGTGATTCGTTCCCTAACCACCCTTTTTTTTTTTATTAATTGATTGATTGATTGATTCACTGTCGTGCCTTGATGCCAAAGTGATCCTTTTTTTTTTTTTTTTTTTATTCTGTTCAATGCTGGGAACTCCATTCTAACCAATGAAGTGCATTTAACCATCTGTTAAAATTTGCTCTTTCATTGACTGGGATTGTTTTTTTGCATTTCTGGGTGACAATGTGTTTTTCTATAGTTTTGTTCTTCGACTTTTGATTTAAAGAGAGTTGATTGCATTTTTTTTGCGTGGGTTCTGAATATATTTTTCATATCACTTGGAAACAGTTGCGTATATACCGGCTTACCTCATTTGGTATGGCGTAAAGAATAAGAAGTGCATTGAGGAAGGGTTATTATAGTTAAGAATAGTTGTCTATATAAACGTACTTTGTTTGAACGGTCTCAAGACTATTTAGGATTTAAAATGGTTGTGGCAGTAAGGTTAATGAGCATCCAATTTTAGTGTTGCGTAGCTCTTGCATGATAACTTGTGGTGGGGTTTGCTGTTGTGGCATAAATTCCGGTGTGCTAGCACTAGGAGAGTCTTCAACCATTTGTTTTTAGTTCGATCAGCTGCATCTGTGTTAGGTCTAAATCCTGTTTCCCCGTCGGTATGACTATAAGTTGCGAGTGTATGGCCTTCAATGGTGCTTGTGAGGATGGTGGTATGGTTGGAGCATGGTGCTGGCTTTGAGGCTTCTGATGTGCTTGCACATGTGCTGAAGGAGTATGGCGGTATCTGCCCCCTTTTTTTAGAAGCAAAGTGGAGGTCTCGGGTATGAAGTGCTTTGGAACAAGTTTCTTTTTCCTTCCTCCACGGGAATTTGAATATTCTATCAACGGCATTTTCTGACTGCAGCAAGAGGTCTCTCAAGGTACGTTGCCTTTGCTATGGCAGTTTACTTTGAAGCGCTTTTAAATTGACCCGAATGTCTTTTTTTCTACAAGAATGGTTTATTGCATTTTAGTTTGTTTGAAGAGTTGATTGGGAACAAATTTGAGGGCCAACTGCAAAAGTAAGCAGTCCAGGTGTGGTCTCAAAGAATGTGTGCAGGCTTACAGGCACTTGCTGCTAGTGAAAGATTATGCAGCAGTTAGACTGCTTGTTGGTGCTGTAAATTTTGAGTGAAACGGTCGTATCATTTGAATAGTGTTCAGATCGCAGCTGTGCACGGGCACCATGTTTGCGGGGGGGGGGGGTCTTGGTGGTTTGTATGTAGCCATAATGATTCGCTTCCTTTCCCACAATTTGTGGTGGGTTCTAGGCATGTCAAACTTAGCATTCAGTGTTTGAAATGGGAAGGCACTTGGTATAACTACTTTTCTTAGGCACATATGCAAATCTGATTGTGGGGGAAATTGTTGCAGTTGCCCTTCAGTTACATGGGGGCGAGGGTATTTTTTTCCTCATGTTTTAGTGGGTCCTTTATGCTGAGGTTATGGGGGGGTTAGAAATATTTGCGAGGGTAGAATAGAATTTCTACTTGCCAATTGTTCGGACGGACCACGCTAGAGGGGCACGTATCTTACTAGAAGCTGTCTTCATTGTTGCGAGAATTTTCGCTTTCTTTGGCCTCATGCTTTTTTTATATGCATGCTGTGATTGGACTGTGTAGGGGGAGATGTTTGCAGAGACCTTGCAGTTGGTTTGAGAGGCCTGGGGTTCCTGAGTACGAACATGGCTGTTCTGATTTGTTTGGTTGGGATTGGGAATTCTGCTAACTACCTTGGATTAGTTAAAAAAAAGGCGATCGAGATGCAATTTGTAGGTGCAGACTGCTTTTCTAAAGAGCTATCTGGAGAGAGGTGGTTGATCTTTCATTGTGCGCTGTTTACATAGGGCTACCCTCGCTGAACCGACTGGTTCATACGAGGGTAGCCACTCTAAAGTCAAACTGACTGGGACACTCAAAATTTTACGTTGTGTGGCAGCAGATGGCAGGGCCCAAGGGGTTAGTGATACTTCTGACCTTTTATGTTTGTTGCTGCTAGTCTCCTCAATTACTTGCTGTTTGACCTGACCACGCGTCCATCCACTCTATCCGTCTGATAGGAAACATTCATATGCGGCCTTGTGTTGGGGTCTTTAAGTGGGTTCCGGGAATTTGATTTGTCTGCCATCGTGGTCATTCTTGGTATCCTTGAAGGGTGTTTGGTGCTGTGCGAGGGCTTAGCTGGGCTGACGTGTGAGGGGCACTGTTTCACTGGTGTGGATGCTCTTCCCCAGTAGAGCAGATGTCGGCAGTGCTTGCAGCAGCGTTCCGGTGATGGGGGAACGGTTGCCGACGCCCGTACAGCCGCCGGCGGCACTCCGGTAGCGTGAGCACGGCCGAGCTAGTGTCTACCCTTTCGACATACCTGTGAAGTAATTTTCTTGTCGGGCACGACTGATTCATGCAAAACTTCTATACTCCGTGACAACTTTTCTTGGCAATGCAGTGGAAGGTACAGGCCTGCGTCCCCTTTCCCATTCTGAGTGTACGCAGGCTCTCTTCCCCCATTTCCGGGGAGAGGAGGAGAGCCCGCGCACACTCAAAATGGAAGAGGGGACGCGGGCCTGTACCTTCCACTGCATTGCCTTGCAAAGTTGTCGCGGAGTATAGTATACTTGCTAGGCCTAATGTCCCTTCATTTTTACCTTCGAAATTTTCACTTTTGTTGCGAGCTGTGCATACCGTATTTACTCGCATAATGAACACACTTTTTTCCCAAAAAATTGGCTGATATTTGGAAAACGGGGGCGGGGGGCGTGGTCATTACGCGGGTTAAAATTTTTGCATTTACACACTTCGTGCAAATGTCCTATTAGGTGCCGATGTGACAATGGAAGGTACTGTGGCACGTCTCCACGGCTGGTCGGGAACACGCCACAGTAACTATGCTTTATAAATTGCAAACCTTTTTGGGGCGTTTTCGGCGTGTCTTTTGCCGAAGTAAAAGCACCCTACAAAGCTCACTCAGCACAGAGCAACGTGACAGTTCGTAGGCCTAACCACTTTCACAGTTTCACTGTCTGAAAGCGGACCACGGATGACTGCGTGTTGACATCAGTGCATCCGCTAGGCAAAGAATGTGGGGCTGGGCAATTCCTCCACACAGGCGTAGTCAACTGTGCGCACCGCTCGGTACACTAGCCATAATGAGAGCGGCTTGGCTTGACTTGGTGGCAGAAGAAAATTAACTGGGTGAGGTAGATGCAATTCGAGAGCCGAAAATTGGAGGTGCGTTCCTTGCGGGAGGGGAGCCTGGGGGGTGCGTTCCTTATGCGAGTAAATACGGTATGCTCAAATTTTCTGGGGCATGCAGTGAAGTTGCATTACGCCAATTGATTTGTTTTTACTTTCACTCGTATTTTGGAATTTTTATCCATTGCTCTGTTCATTAAATGTGCTAGTGAAAGACATTTTAGAGAGGGTGTTTAATGTTTTGAAGTGATTCTGACAGTACAAAAAACTTTGAATTACCATGGCATAGCGGTACAGGAGAATGATCTAATTGTCAGATTATTTCTTTGCACACAACGGCTAGTGAGTTGCGTGGAGTCAGAAATGGTGCAAAAATTGCACATAGGAATTTGAAGATTTTAGTAAAGTTTTGAAGGTTTAGTATGGAGGGGGGGGGGGGGGTGCATTGTAGAATTTCTGTGGTCTAAAGTGCCCATTGTGGGACTGGCTTTCCATGGAGCCACTGGGAGTTTGCACTTCTCCCGAAGTCTCCATATTGAGTACTTTGGCTGCCTTTTGGGGCACACCTCAACAGCTCGAATGCTTTGTCTTGCCACTTGCATTCAGAGTCCTTAATTTGCTTACTTTGGAAGTGCAGCTTGTAGCCCTTTCTCTTTGTAGATAATGTGACGCATTTACGGGACAACTCTGGTCAAATTTCAATGTTGAGAAAACAATGCAGTCCTACGTCGTATCATCTGAAAATCCTACATGTAAAGTATTGAGATGCAATTGCGCCTGCAAGTTCATTCAACCGGCCAGCGAAGACCGAGTGGCTCTACGGTTGGCAATATTTGCCCAATCTAGTGGGCGGCATGCGGAGCAGCGCAATCAACGTTGCTGTGTAAACACAGCCAATTATTGGAAGGATTTTGTTTTTTACTTTTCGCTGGTTTCAATAATGATATAGTCGATGTCTCCGCAACATGTGATGTCCAGTAGTTGACAGAGAGGACCAATGTTGCTTGCCACAAGCAAGGTTTCAGTTTTGCTATGAGATTTTCGTTTGAACGAGGTTTGCAAGAAAGCTAACTTTTCGGGAAACGAATCGTAGATCCATTTATTAGCAATTTTTACTTGAGAATCGCCCTTAATACCAGAATTTCCGGAGTTGCTGTTGAAACTTAATTCGAGAAGTGTAATTAAAAATGCCATTTAAACAGCTTTTTAAATGACAGCGACATTGCATTTGTATTAATGACTCTCGCGCTTCCAGTGTCTGCAGGTGGGATTTAGGGCTTTGAAATGCTCGCACAGTTGCAGTGAAACTTGGCAGGAATCGGCATTACTAGAAGAACTCAGTTGGAAAGCTGCCATAGAGCGTGCTTTGAAAAAGTTGCTCTGATCCATACTCGAGAACCGAACTAAAGGCGATCACAACGCCG